GGGGGGAGAGGTATTTGGAGCCGACCGGTCCCAGGATTAAAGCAAGTTTGGGTTCAAGTTTGGGTTCGTCATCACCCACCCCAGGCCAGAGTCGGCCTCTCTCCTGTTATGGAAACACAGCCCCAGGCAAAAACGTCCACATCCAATGCTTTGGTTCCAGTTTTAACATAACAGGATAGATCTTAGTTTAGCCAGAGGAGAGTTCCAAGGGAGTTTCCTATGCCAGGCCTCTTAAAAACAGGAGACCAGCTTGGGTCAGACGTCTGGAGGCATCTAGTTGTCACTGCAGGAACATCGTCCTTTGTGAGACAGATTGGAACCAAGATAATTTGGGATAAACAATTTGATATTTTATCTTAAATTTTACAAAATATTTCTTTTTGAGTTACAACAGAAAAGAAAGCATGGCAGATATTGTTCGTGTTCCTTTGTAATTTAGGACATACAAAATTAAAAAACGACTCAGACTAGAAAACAAACTTCTGGTTACCAAAGGGGAAAGGGGGTGGGGAGGGATAAATTAGGAGTTTGGGATTAACAGTTACTAACGACTGTATATAAAGTAGATAACAAGGTCCTACTGTATAGGATAGGAACTGTATTCAATATCCTGTAATAAACCATAATGGAAAAAAATATGAAAAAGAATATATATATATGTGTGTATGTATAACTGAATCACTTTGCTGTGCTTCAGAAACAACACAGCATTGTAAGTCAGCTATACTTCATTAAAAAAGACGACTCCCTCATTGCCGCTCAAATCTTTGTCCATTTCATTTTGTAAAAGTAGGATTTCATTTTAAACTGTACTAACCAAAGATGGGCTTAATTGAGTTAAACTCCTGTAATAATCCAGGGGATACTGACCCTCAGGCTCCTGGCTTATGACAGGTGGTGAAGGCAAGAGGTGAACAGGCAACTTTCCCTACAGAAGAATCCGGTGTCTTTTTGTTCGTTCGTGTAGCAGTTCCTGAAGTGGGAGGGCACGGAGGGCGTGAGGAAGGGAGCTGGACCCGCGGGTCCCTGCTGAGGCTGGAGGGTCCCAGAGCAGCCAGGCCAGGTGCTCAGTGGGGGCAGCGGGAGGAGGGGCTGCCCTGCCCCCCCCCCCCCACCAGGGCAGGTGGCGGCCCCGGGGCTGGCCCCTGGCTCTCTCTGGACACACTGGTAGCTTCCCCCTGGGGATCCGATTGCGAACGTGGTTTCCCTTTTTCTGTCCTACATGAAGCCATTCTTTTTCTCCCCAGACCAGAGGGGAAAATAATTGCAGCCGTTCAGTTTTACAGCGTGTTAATTTAGCTCTCTGGTGAATCAAGTCGAAGGCTGAGGGCCAAGCAGTTTATTCAAACAGGAGGCTGGGACTCCTGCCAAGACAGTGGGGTGGCTTCCAGGCCAGCCCCGCCGTGATCCCAGCTACAGGTGGAGCGGCGGGGGCGGCGGGAGGGGAGGCTGTGCGGCAAACCGCTAAAGGGGGCCACGGCCCGGGCAGCTGCGGGAGCGCAGGGGGAGCCTGCCTGACGCTGGCAGGAGCCCCCCGGTCGGGATGGGCCCGACTCAGGCGGGTCCCTGTGCCCCTGGGGGCACCAGGGCTCAGGGTCAGCACAGTCGCTGCGTCCTTGTGCTTTCTCAGACACAGGCGAGCAAAACGAACGCGGACGCCTCAGAGCCATCTGGGATGGGGGTGTGGTTCAGAGTCCGTCCCCCACACCCCCCAGGGACCTCTGGGACCAGCCATCCTCCAGCAGCCCCTCACAGACAGGTGACCATGTAACGTGCAGTCCAGACTGGGTGCACGGAGACAGGTATAAACTGGGACTGTCCTGGGCCACTTGGGACCTGTGGTCACCCCTGTGTGTATAGAACATCACAACTTAAACTGTGCCGTTTAAGTGTTAGGAAAAAAACCTAACAACTACAACAACTACCCTACAGGTGGAAGTAAGGCTGAGGTAGTTGGTATTTTAAAGGGATGAGTTCTCTACTTTCAAAAGGGGTGGGTGGACTCGGTGTGAGGGCAGGGCTGGCACATACCAAGAGGCAAGAGGCCTTTTTAAGGCATCCGGAACATGGACTGGGGAAAGCTGCTTATGATTTATTCTAAAACTGAGATAGGAACCCAGGAGAAGACTCAGCCCACGGGGGCAATATTCCAGTCAAAACGGATCCCGTCTTGTGGGGTGGAACGTTTGCCAGCACACATGGGTCAATCAGGGAGATAAGAGCGCAAGACTTCTAGGTGGTTCCTAAGCAAATGTCACAGAAGCACCAGGTCGTCCACTGGGAACCTCAGTTCTTAGTAACAAAGCATCGTGAGGCACAGGCCTGCCAGCCCCGCCGGGCCCTGGGCAGCGGGTGACAGCACCTGGCCTCAAAGCAGCGCTGGCTGCTGGCGGGAACCTGCTAGAACAGTCAGGGGCTTCGTGAGGACACAGGAGGGAACGTGTGAATGGGCTTAAAAACTGGTGCCGTCGGTGGTGTGAAGAACTGAGCTGTAAGCTTTTGCCCCAGTGGAGAAAGTAAATGTCAATTACTACGGGACAAAGGGCCCGGTTCTCCGGGAAGATGGGGGCAGACACCCCAAGCTGTGTGGGGCCAGGGGGCGCAGGTGGGCGGCGTGTGCTGGGGCCAGGCCAGCGCTTTCCAAGCCCCGCACGAAGAGACACCTCCTGCCGTTCCCTCTGCCAGGGTCTGAGTGGGGTGGGGACTCTGAGGTTGAATTCTGGGCCTCTTTGTCAGAGGCCAAGTCTGAGGATCGTCCTTGTACCACGTGGGCCCTTGGTGGGCTGCAGTCAGAGTAAACACTTGAGCAGAGGCCTGAGTTAACCTTTTTGGGTAAGGAACCTTTGGGGCAACTGGTGAAAGATGTGTACCCTCTCTCCAGAAAACCACACGTCCAAAACAATAAAGACTTTGCATACCTTTGGCAGGGCTCCCAGACCACCGGGGCCTGTACAGTGCCCAGGACTCCTGGGGCCCAGGCTAGGGATTCCCGCCCGCGAGGGACCAAATGAGTGTGGCTGGTGGCCTGTCAGCCCTGCTACCTGCGTCTGCAGCCACTGAAAATGATGGTAACAGGAAGCCTGGATGGTCAGATAGAAAAAGAACATTTATTGTGTTCAACAAGCCAGATTATCATCGTAACAACCTATGCAGCAGCCACTGTTATTCCCTATTTTTCCAGATAGGGAATCGAGACAAAGAGGTAAGACAAGGCACTGATGTCACACAGCTCGGAGGTGTGAACAGATAGATAAGGTCACAAGGCGGGGCTGAGGGGTGGGTTTAGAGAGCACTTCCCTGGGGCGTCAGGAAGGAGAGGGGGGCCGTGCCTGGTCCCCATGTGACCTGTGTCGGGAACCCCTTTTGGAGGTGCCATTGCTTTCCTGACCGTGACCTCACTCAAGCTGAACCCCACGGGTCTCCTGTGTGCAGCTGAGCTCCTGAGCCCTGCCCCACCCGGCCCACTGGTCCTACTTTAACAAAACTCAGCAGCTCCAGGTCCCCCAAATAGGGGAGGCCACGCAGAAAGGGGCTGGTGGCAGGGATAGTAGAAAACCATGCTAGAAGACTCCTCCTTAGTGAGTGTGCAAAAGATGAGGTTGGTAGGCAAATTAGGGCATTTCATCCTAAATTGTACCTCTTAAGGCATCTTTGGACCCCTGTGGGTCTCTCCCCACACTGGAAGCCCAGAAATCTGGTCATGGGATTTGGGGGTGCATGCAACAGAAACCCAATTCAAAGTACCATAAGTGAAAAGGGTGATTTCATGGAAGGATGCTCACAGAATGTCACAGGCTGGACAACCAAGCTGTGTGACAAGCCTGACCCTGGACTCGGAGACAGGATGGACCCAAGGCCTGGAAAGCAGCCAGAACAATCCCTTCCTGATTCCCTCCACGCACCAGCTTCTTCCTCTGAGACATCCCACACCAATGGGGAGTGGGCCTTGGCCCGAAGCGAATGCACAGTAATAACCTCATGGCCCCATTGGCTCCAGGAGAAAGTTCTGGGGCAGAAGCTGTTGGCTCTGGTGCCGCCTGTGACCGGCTCCTGTTTGTTCTTAGAAAGAGGCCTCCTGACATGCAGGCCAGGCAGCCTCTCCCTCCCCGGCTGCCTCCCCTTCCCGACCAGGAAGAGGCTCAGGGGAGCTGCTGCCCGAGGACTCAGTTCATGAAAACAATTACTTGGAACAGTTTCTCCGCTGCTCTTTTTGACGTCGCAGAGGTGGCAGGTCCTCCACAGCATCAGAGGCGGGCCTACCTGGAGCCACGTGTGTCCTGCTCAGGCTGAAAGGTTACAGAGCCAGTGTGGCTGCTGCCACCCAAACCTTCTCCGGGAATCTAACCTCATTTCAATCCTTAGAGAAAAATGACGTCTTTATAGCATTTTATCAAATCACCTCCCTGAAATGTGTTCCGGTGATCTTTTTTTTTAAATTTATTTTTAATTTATTTATTTTTGGCTGTGTTGGGTCTTCGTTGCTGCGCAGCAGGCTTTCTCTAGTTGCAGCGAGTGGGGTCTACTCTTTGTTGCGGTGTGCGGGCTTCTCATTGCAGTGGCTTCTCTTGTTGTGGAGCACGGGCTCTAGGTGCGCGGGCTTCAGTAGTTGTGGCTCGCAGGCTCAGTAGTTGTGGCTCGTGGGCTTAGTCGCTCTGCAGCACCTGATCTTCCCGGACCAGGGCTTGAACCCGTGTCCCCTGCATTTGCAGGCGGATTCTCAACCACTGCGGCACCAGGGAAGCACTGTTCTGGTGATCTTAATGGTTTTCAAGTTTAGGCAATCTGTACTTCAGCAAACTGCTTTCAGCCCTGAGCAAATGACAGATTTAAAAAGGAGCACTCAGCTGATGGTGATGGTTCAGTCAAAAGTAACAGCACAAAATAGTGATTTTTAACTCAGGTATTGAAAAGTGGGACCCAGTGTCATCAGATCCGAAAAACCTTGCCTACGTGTTGTCTGGAAATTCTATCCGTTGGGTATGCACTTCTACCAAACCATCCAAACTTAAGAGTTTATTATGTCCTTGTGCGTTTAGACTTATTTTTTTCTACATACATGTAACATATGCATATACATACAGTTAAGATAACCCCACACTACTCCCAGCCAGCTAGCTCAATACAAAGCTGGTTTGTTCTCCCAAATACTGGCATCCTGCTACTCATTAGCTGGTGTGATCTTTGGTCAAAGAAACACATTAAGTCTTCATTCTTACACATTAGTTCACTCGTATGTTCCTTCAAAATCATCCATTTGCCTCACTGTTAGAAAGCACTATTCAGTTTGTTCCCCAGGAAATTAAACTTTGCAGTGATGAGAGAGAAAATAATCTATAAAATACCCAAATCTGATTTTTTCTCCTTTAACACAGTATTTGTTTAAACAATGTAGCACAACATTTATTTTACATTTTTAATTTTTTTTACTAAGGCACATGACGTATAGAAATAGTGAGGTACAAAATGCAAATTTCTGCATAAGATTTTTAAAATAATCCTTTTGGAAAATAAGGTAAACATCATCTTCCAGAGGATTCAGCTTTTAGCTTGCTTTTTCTTTTGGACCAGTTCAACCAGCAGCTTGTACCTAGCGATACAGTCTTCCTGGAGAGAGAGAGAGAGAGACAGAGAGTTGACAGTTACAATCAGAGTGACCCTCGTGGGGTGAGCCTGCCGTGCCCAGCGCTGACCAAGGGCTGTCCTGTCCACCTGGAATTCCCTGGGTGCCCGGGCGGGAGGTGTGATGTGCACCCTGGGGGAGGGGCTGGTGGCTGCTGTCTGTGGGACGGAGACTTTGGTTACTGTGATGGTGACTTTCGACTCACCAGTGGTACTTAACATTTTAACATTTCACCGTTTCATCACAACACATTACTTCAGAGAAACGAAAAGCCTTGAGGCCAGGCATCCACAACGTCATTCTCATTATGCTTTGCCTCTCCCTGGGGGCCCCTGGGACCTTCCTGCGGTAGGGCCACGTCGGCCCAGCCCCACGGGCTACTGCGGGGAGTGTGCCCCGCTCTTCCTCCGGCTCGTACCAGCCCCGCCGAGGTCTTCCAGCCTTCCAGTCAGGCTACAGAACTCGTAGCTTCAGACGCCAGCTGCCTGTCGCTGTCACCCCTTGGGGTGAGGACCCCTAATGAAGCAGGGGAAGGGCCTCATTGCTCTCTTGTTTATCACAAGGTACTTTCCAGAATCCATTTCTGTTTCTGTTCAAAAACACCCCAAAGGCACTGTAAGCCTTCACTAACTTACGGTCACACGTGAACTGGTTTGTGCTCCACAGCAGACGACTTTACCAGAGGCCCTGGACAGAGAACGGGTGTTCATTCTCTTCCTGGAGTTTTGGCTTAGTAGTGTTCTGAGAGAATCTTCTAATAAGTGCCTCTTCCGCATCCCCAAGGGCCACCTGCCTAAAGTGTCACCCTTTCCCTAACAGCCAAGCTGCCCGGCCGGCCCAGCGCTCTGTGGGGGGATGCGGGGACCCTGGGATCTGAGCAGCAGGCCTGCCAGGGTGGGCGGCCCAGCCCAGCCCCGTGTGGGCCTCAGGCAGAGGCTCCTCCTTCAGGCCCAGGGCTCCCAGCGGCTTGCAGGCCACTTCCAGGGAGTCGCCCTGTAGCGGGCGAGCCAGCAGGCAACCTCCCCTGGACCTGGTTCTGACGTGGAGGCGTAAGGGGAACACCTGCAGGATAATAAACCATGCTGCTCATTCCTCCCTGAACCAGGAAGGTTTCCAACCCCCAAGGCAATGAGTTTCTGAGTGTGCTGTCCGCAGGAATCCACGGTTCCAGCTCCTTCATTTTAAGCCAGTGTCAATTCATCACACATGTAAATGCCTGTGTCCCGACAGATGCTAAAGAAATTCGGGGAAAATAATTACTTCTGGCAAACCAGTTGGAGGGGCTGGGAGGATCTGTGTTTCTCAAATAGATCAACTGCTAATGGTTTATTTTTCTCCCTGGGAATTCTCAACTTCCTCATTTTAAAGTAGGTGATAGATAACTAGACTTGTACGCATGGGGACATCCATGGCCACGAGCTAGATTTTCCGACATCAAATTTCAATTAAAAAAAAAAAGGAATGTAAATGAACATCAGTGTGCCCACAGGCTACTGAGTGATGGGCGGAGAAGGCAAAGGAGACTGGCTCTTTTGATTTCTCGGTGTTCCTGGTGCCTCAGACGAAGGGTATGGCTACGAGGAAAGACGCCCAGGAGGCTGTATCAGGAAAGGCTTGGGTTGAAAACATCACACCGGAGGCTCTGCAGCTCCCAACTGTCGGAGCAGAAGACAGAGGCCGGACAGGGCCTGACTTCCCACAGGGGCTGCCCCCTTCCCTCCTATCTGAGTTGGCATTTGGGAACTCTCTGCAGATGTGTTTAAACAGACACTAAAAGCTGTACACTAGGAGGAAAGGGCTACAGAGGACAAGCGGGATCCTGATCCTGAGGGCAACCTCTCCCTGACCCCGCCCCCAACACTACTTCCAGCCTTTGGTCCACAGGTGCCACCGCTGAGACTAGACAAGTTACACGGCAGAACTGGTGACCATGGCGACGCCGGCCGCCACACGTGTTCCCCGGGTTAAAGAGCTGTGAAGCGCTGGAGGGGCTCGTGATTCTGTGGGAAACCTTCTCCTTGCTGGCCGAAGGGAGCCTCCGCCTGCGAGGGAGGCCTGGCCCTGCGCGGCCCTCGCAGCGACAAGGATGCTGCCCGGCCGTCCCCGCCCCGCCCCTGCCGAGCGAACGCTCCAGAAGGTTGGCGGGATTGCTGTGGGGGCAGGTTATGATCTATGCGTGGGGTTTTCGCTGAGAAAACATAACTGGTCTGTATAACGATTCAGCTTGGAATCTTGACCTCATTTACACTAAGCAGTCGAGTGCAGATTCACAGGCTCTCGGGAGACATCTAGTGGAAGGTAACTGGCAGGAAAGATGAGGCGGATAGAAAGACGCGTAGGAGGAGGGAAAGCCGGTGGACCCGCTGCAGCCCGCGTCCGTGTGATCTAGACCCGCTCCCGTGTGATCTAGACCCGCTCGGAGGCCTTCCTTCCCGGCGTCACCCACCTTACTCTTGGACGGGACACACTTGGCGATTTTGTCCCAGCGGTCAGAGGATCCCTTTGGGTACTGCTGTAATGCTAACTCCAGAAGCTTCTGTTGGCTCTGAGTCCAGGGCTCCTCCGTGGCTCGCGCTCGCTCTCTCTTCTGGCTCTCATCGTCGCTGGACTCGTGCTGTTCCGACATGTCGAAGTCCTTCTGCCTCTTTCCCCGGACCTTCTCCTCCAGCTCGGGCGGCCGGGCTGGCCTCCGCCTCCGAGGCCAGCTATCCTCCGCGGCCTCCGGATCGGCCTCCTCCTCGCCGTCCTCCTCCTCCAGCTCCCCAGCCTGCTTGGCCTCCTCCCGCTGAGTGATGATGTCGTCCGGCAAGGTGGTGGCGGCCTTGGGGGGCCGGGAGTTCTGGGCTGTGGATCTGAGTTCGGAGAGTCTGACCATTCCTGTGAGAAAGGACACACGGAGGGGAAGGGCAAGGTCAGTTCCGGTGACAAGAGTCAGGACAGCTGCCTTCACCACAGCAGACAGTGCGCTGGGCATTTTGCATGTATTGTATACTTAATGTTCACACTATTCTATAAAGACAGCCATCGTGACCCCAACTGCACAGAGGAGGGAAGTCAGTCTCAGAAGCAGCAGAGGTGGGATCTGAACCCACTTCTGTCTGATTCCAAGCCTTTGTCCTTCCACCGCTCTGAGGACTTCGGGGGCCTCCCAGGGCCAGGTTGCGATCAGAGGATGAGAAGGTCCCTTTGAGAGGGGATAAGCGGCTACTCTCGAGGTATGGAAAGATGTTCTTCAGAATCTAGGGTTGTTATTAGTTCCGCGAGCGCAAGTACAGTGAATCCGTCAGACCTCCCGCTGGGCTAACCCTGCACGGGGGACCGCCCCCCCCCCCCCGCCAAGCTGCTTCCTGTGCCACCGCGATGCCTCGCTTGACAGAAAAGCACACTCCTCGTGCCACCCACGGGTGTGTTCAGCCACGCCTTTCCCGCCCTGCTCACACACTCCCGACCCCTCCTGTGCTCTAGGAAGAGCTGTCTGTGCCCCACCGCCTTTTCAGGAGCAGGTTTCTGGAGACTGTGTCGCAGGGGAGCGTCTTTCACAGAAGCACGTTGTGCGCTTGGGCCTCCACACGCAGACCAACAGCCGCGCTGGCAGGAGAGCAATCTGGAAATGCCCTCCTCGCTGGAGACCGCAGAACCGCACGCCCCGTCCTCTCCAGGGGAGACGTTTCGAGATCTCAGGGTTTGCTGGTCCCTAGTAGGTTACATCGAGTGCACGGACCTGTATTTAAGTGGAGTTGGAAGGTTTAGGAGGTATTTTCTTCTTGGTTCCGAGCAAAAAGTATGGGGACTTGAACAAAATTCCACTTAGTCTTGGAGGAAATGGATTTTTTTTTTTTTTTTAAATTATTTTTGGCTGCGTTGGGACTTCGTTGCTGCGCCGGCTTTCTCTAGTTGTGGAGAGCAGGGGCTGCTCTTCGTTGTGGTGCGCGGGCTTCTCACTGTGGTGGCTTCTCGTTGCGGAGCACGGGGCTTCAGTAGTTATGGCATGTGGGCTCAGTAGTTGTGGTGCACGGGCTTAGTTGCTCCGTGGCATGTGGGATCTTCCCAGACCAGGGCTTGAACTCGTGTAACTGCTGCACCACCAGGGAAGTCCCTGGAGGAAATGGATTTTGAGAAACATAGATTCTTGGAGAAGCTGCTTGGCCTGTCCCGAAGGACGCTTTGTGTGTGTGGTGGCAATGGTGCACAGTGTGGGGAAATGGCGCAGACTGGCTTTCCCCTGCATGCCCCCCTCCCCCCAATACTAGAGAAGAACAAGGTTTTTACAGTTCCTCAAACTTATTAAGTACATCTTAGCACCACTGTGTGTGCAGGGCTGCATTGGCTTGTGGGTGCTTGTAATTCGATCCCTTTCACAGAGATGACCAGTAGTAGAGTCCATTGGGCAAAACAAGTTATTATAAAAAGGGATTTATTTTGAAGGCACGGCTTTAGATTAATGGGATGGAGTGGGTGCTGACTCACCTGGGGAGCAGGTAACTGAATCCTTCAGTTGCTTGGCTTTGGTTGTCACCTGTTTCAAAATATAAAAGCAGAGAAAATCTGACTTTCCATATGTCTACTGTAGGTCAAGTGACCTCTTTCATAGAAGGTCCGTGTGAAGGAACAGAGTTTACTGAATCTTAGGCCTGGATGGACCCTCAGTCATCAGTTCAGTCCATTTTCTTAACCAACATGGAAACTGAAGCCCAGAGAGATTAAATGAATTACTCCAAAATATCCATCTAATCAAGTAGCAGAGTCAAAACAAGAATTCAGATCACCTGATTACAGCCCCATTATACAAGGCTGCCTGTGAAGATGTACTAGTTTCCAGAATCACTATACAAACACGTCGTGTTTTTTAGTTAGAATTTCCTGAAAGAGTATCTTTCTTCACTGGAGAATATTATACCATAGGGGTATTATGAACAATGGGGAAATTTACTCTTAAGCTAACGATGTTATAATACAAAAGTCTTTTCTTCCTATCCCAGAAAGAAACCCTAAGAGCACCAAGATTGACACTAGCAGAAGGACCTCTTGGTGGAGTAGTAGATGGACCCAAGACCCATGAGACATTTACATACACAAGTGTGGATCCACAGAAATAATGTTTTCTTTCTTCTGTATAAATGGTATTATATTGTACATCTCACCCTTTAGCTTGCTTTTTTTAATTTAATGATGTATTGGAGGTCTAGATAGATTTCCCTTTTTAAAACTGAGATAAAATTTACATAGAGTGGAATGTACAGATTTTTAAATGTACATTTCAATGAGTTTTGACCAAAAAAACCCCATGCAACCTACATTCTAATCAAATTATAGAAAATTTCTGTTATCCTAGAAAGTTCCCTGTGCCCCTAAATCCATCTCTACCCTGCCATAGACAACCACTGTTCTGATTTCTATTATATATAAATAGGAGATCAAAATTAATTAAAAAAAATTAAAGTTGGATAGTTAACTGCCCCAATGCACTTATTAAACAAGCCATCCCTTCTCCATTTATTTAAAAGGTTAACTTTATTAAAATTATATTAAAATTACATTTCATTGTATACATGGAATACATACTTTGTATTCTATCCCCTTAATCCGTGTAAATTCTTGAACAAACATTTTGCTGCTTTAATGAAATTTGAAAGGAAAACCTCAGAAAGCATGCTCTAACATCCTCAGAGCTCGGAGTTAGAGCTCATATTCAGTTTTGGTTCCACCTCTGATTAGCTGGGTAACCTTGAGCTATTTCCAATCCTCTCTCTCTCTCTCTCTCTCCCTCTCTCTCATGTATTACCCTCTGTAATATGTGGATAAAACTGCTAATACCTTTTGTCTGGTAGGGATGTTTTAAGTTTGAAATAAGCTCTTAGCATGCTACCTAGCAAATGGTAAAGGCTTATAATTACCTATTATAATTGATGTGGATCATTTGTTTTCCATTCATGCAAAAGGGCAGAATTAGAGAAAATATTTAAAGCTGCTTAGAAACACTCTTCAATTTTATTCCCTCTCTGTGGATGACCTTGCTTTGTATTTTATGGGAAAAAACTTGAAGTTATCCAACATGAGCTTCCCTGACTTCCAACTTTCCCAACTCAAATTTCTGATTGCACCGCCATATATCTTTCCCACATTTTATATAACCTACACATATCCTCTTGTACATTTTGAATCACCTCTACATTACTTACAATACCTGATACAATCTAAATGCTATGTAAATAGTTGCTACTGTGAGGCAAATACGTGTTTCGCTTTTTACAACTTTCTGGATTCCCCCCCCACCCCCCAAATATTTTCCATCCGAGGTTGGTTGAATTTGCAGGTGTGGTGCCGACCATACCGTGGGGCTTCCATCTGTAACTGCCGTTAAGTGTCTTATTTAGACGTCTCCTAGCTCCTGAAACTAAACAACTCCCAACCTAAACTCATCAACTTCTCTGCTTTCCCCCCTTCCTTTTCCTAACAGTACTATCATCCCAGTCACGTAGGGGCAAAACCAAAGAACCAATTTTTGGACTTTTTTCTCCCTCCCCAACCAGCTGCCACGTTCTTCACAATACTGACCCCATGTGTTCCCGTCTCTCTCAGATCTCCACCACCTGTATTAGTCCTTCATTCTCTGACTGAATTAATATAACAGCCTTCTAACTGGTCTACAACTTACTTATTAGCAGTTCCCATGGAATAATATCCCCAAGGCAGAGTTCTGATCAGATACCTTTCATGGCTCATCAATGACCATACAACAAAGTGTTCAATTCTTAACCTGACACACAAGGAAATCCACAGTCTGATCTATTTTCTTTCCTATGTGCATCCTTCCTTTCAGCGAACTAAACAATTAATGCTCTCCAGATGGTCAGAAATTCTCTGCTCTGTACTCTTGGCCATTGTTAACATTTGTCTTAAATGATTTTCTTTTCTTCATCAAACCTCTCCTTAAATATCTATCCGTCCAGAGCCAAGTCATCCTTCGAGATACTTGCAAGTGTGACTTTCTTCTTGAAGACTTCCCAGATGCCCACCACCAGGACTACCAAGTCTGGTGACAATACCTCTCCTTTCTCAATTTCTACTGTATTTTTAAAGATTCTATATTTTTACATCATAATACAATAAAATTACCTTTTCGTCTTCTGTTGCACAGTTCTATGAATTTTAACACATTTATCGATTCATGTAACTATAGGGTACACAACCTCCATATAGGATATGGAATAATTTTTTTTTTTCTCCTGCATCTTGTTATTTAACAAAATATTTTGGAGATTATTCCAGAATAGTACACAAAGACCTCCCTTGTTCTGTTTCTTAAGAAACAGCTTAACTGAGATACAATTCATATACTATACAATTCATCCACTTAAAGTGTATAATTCAGTGGTTTTTACTAAATTCAGATATGTGCAGCCATCATTGTGGCCAACTTGAGAACATTTTCATCACTTTGAAAAGAACCCCCATATCCTTTAGCTATCATTCTCCATCCTCCTTATCCCACCCCATCCCTCATCAAGCAATAAGCAACTACAAATCCCTGTCTCTACAGATTTCTCTGTTCTGGACTTCCATATGAATGGAATCATACCATATGTGGATTTTTGTGGCTGGCTTCTTTCACTTAGGGTAACGTTTTCCAGGTTCATCCAAGTTGTAGCATATATCAGTACTTTATTCCTTTTTATTGCAGAATAGTATTCCATTGTATGGATATACCACATTTTGTTTATCCATTTATCAGGTGATAAACATTTGTATTGCTTCCATCTTTTGGCTCTTATAAATAATGCTGCTATAAACATTCGTGTATAAGTTTTTGTGTGGGCATATGTTTTCGTTTCTCTTGGGTATATACCTAGGAGTGGAACTGAGGAGTTATATGGTAGCCGTGCTTAACTTTTTGAGGAACTGTCGTACTGTTTTCCAATATGGCTGCAACATTTTACATTCACATCAGCAGTATATGAGTCTTCTGATTTCTTTACATCTTTCCTAAAACTTGTTATTACCCAACTTTTTGTATTATCCCACATCCTAGTGGATGTGAAGTGGTATCTTGTGGTTTTAATTTGCATTTCCCAAATGACTAGTGATACTGAACATTTTTTTTCATGTTTATTGGCTATTTGTATATCTTCTTTGGATAAATGTGTATTCAGATCCTTTGCTCATTTTTTATTTGGGTGATTTGTCTTTATCATTGAGTTGTAAGGGCTCTTTATATATTCTGGATACAAGTCCTTCATCAAATAAATGATTTGCAAATATTTTCTCCCATTCTGTGGGTTGTCTTTTCCCGCTTAGTGGTGTCCTGTGAAGCACAAAAGTTTTAAATTTTGATGACATACACATTTTTTTTCTTTCTTTTTTTTTTTAGTTGCTTGGACTTTTAGTGTCCTATCTAAGAATCCTTTTGTCAAATTCAAGGTCATGAAGATTTACCCTTCTGTTTTCTTCTAAGAGTTTTATAGTTTTAGCTCTTACATTTAGGGGAATATTGCAATCTTAACAATGTTAAATCTTCTGATCCATGAACAGGAGATATTTTTCCACTTATTTTGATCTTCTTCAATTTCTTTCAACAATGTTTTGTAGTTTTTAAAGTTTGTATTTTTTGTTAAATTTATTCCCAAGTATTTTATTCTTTTTGATGCTATTGTGAGTGCAATTATTTTCTTTATTTCATTTTCAGGTTGTTCATTGTAGGTATATAAAACTAAAACATTTTTGTATATTTATGTTTACTGCAATCTTGATGTACTAATTCCAATAGTTTTTTAGTTAATTACTTAGTATTTTGTATACATAAAATCATGTCATTAGCAAATAGGGACAGTTTACTTCTTCCTTTTCAATCTTATTTCTTTTTCTCAGCTAACAGCCCTGGCTAGAACCTCATATAATGTTGAATAGAAGTGGTGAGAGCAGACATTATTGTCTTGTTCTTTATCTTAGCAGGAAAACATCCCCTCTTTCACCAATAAGCATGATATTAACTGTGGGTTTTTAGTAGATGTTCTTTATCAGGTTGAGGCATTTCCCTCTTATTCCTAATTTGTTGAGTGTTTCTATCATGGAAGGATGTTGGATTTGTTAAATGCTCCTATTGAGATGATCTTGTTTTTTAACTCTATTGATATGATTAATTTACATTAATTGATTTGCAGATATTGAATCAACTTTGCATTCTTGGGATAAAACCCACTTGATTAGGGTATATAATTATTTTTATAAGTTACTGGATTTGGTTCGCTGTATTTTGTTGAGAATTTTTGCATCCATATTCATATGAACTATTAGTATGTAGTTTTCTTCTCATGTCTTTGGTTTGGTATTAGAGTAATACTGGCTTCACAAAATGTGTTGGGAAGTATTCATCCTCTTCTATTTTGGGGAAGATTTGTGAAGTTTTGGTATTCATTCTTCTTTAAATGTTTGGTAGAGTTCAGCAGTGAAGCCATCTGAGCCTGGGCTTTTCTTTTTTCTTTTTTTTTTTTTTTTTTGCGGTACACGGGCCTCTCACTG